CGTGAAATGCTGTAAACTGCGAAAATGAAGTCTCAAAATCCAAATGAACCGAACAAGAAAGACTCGAACTAGACGTCAATTAATGCACGCGTGTCACCTGATCCACATATGCACAGATTCCTTTTTGCATGAGCAATTTATGATATATTAATGCAGAACAGAACATTTTTATTCGCAAACATATCTGTATTTGTACAAATCGCTGCACAATCGTTTAATCCTGAATTTGTTTGTGGTTAATAAGATACATGTATAAAATGTATGCAGTACATGGATAATTGTGCGTGCATCTATTATTAATTTTGAGTCTAATTTCATCCCATACTGCATTTTTTTTTTTATATCCAAAACCAGTCTTGTCAACTCTTCTATCAAGGGAGCAAACAAAGGCAGGAAGCAGAAGTGATGGTAAAAATTAGCAGAATTTATAGAATAATAGTTGTCTTTCATTCTGAAATTTCATTCTGAATTTGTCTGACCAGCACAATTTTAACAAGTGTTATTATACCAAAGCAAGGGCTATGGAAAATTACTGCTTCACAATGTTATCATATGATGTTAAAAACCTAGAGATGGAGACACTGTTTTATCTCTAACATGTGACGAAAACACAGCACACAACAAAAGATTCTGATAACTTAAAACCATACACACATTGGCTCCTTCACAGTGTTAGATCATGCCTCCCTGCCAGATAATTAGGATCCAGCCCCAAATGCCAGATCCTGTCAAAAAAATCTATTTTGTCTGGTAACAGAACTAGTCAGCAAAATTGCCTAATACCCATAACCTGTTAACAGCAAGTCTTGTCTGTTACCCAAAATAACCAAAACTCTAACAGTCTTCTATCAGCCAAGAAGCTGACTGAGTAAAGCCAGTGAATAGCAGAAGCAGGAGACAAAGTGATGATAAAAAAAGTTTATTGAATCAGTTGAGTATGTCTCAATGCTCAGATTTCATCTGACCTTGAATTTCCATGAACATTCCCTCTTGTCTCTTATTCATGAAGACAAACAGCCCTTGAAACACACAGTCATAAGACTAAACAACAATGGAAAAATAATATATAAAAAACAACAATATAATGTAATGTAAATGACTAATCAATTAATGAATAAATGTAATTAGTATATAAATGGTTATTATAAATGATTATATGATTAAATGCAATCATAAAACAATTAAATGATAAATGATTATGAATGAATCAATTAATTAATAAATGAATGAAGAATAAATGAATATAAAAGAAAGAAAGTAAAACACAACACAAATGTATGGTTGCTCTCTTGAAGCAACACACACAGTTTGCATTTGAGGATCCTTAGATCCTTCAAAAGTAGTGCAGTGGTTCTTGAAACGTAATTAAGAGCCCAGCACATTGGGAAATATACATTATATTCAGGTTACATTTTCTGGGATTTTAATCAAAACATATATTTCCAATGATCAAATATCAAATGCAATTTGTTGATAACAAACAAACAAAATTCAATGCTATTCTCCAATCAAGTTTTAGACATTTCTAAAGACAAAAATAGATTACCTTGTACCAGCAAGGAATACAGCTGCAATAATTTGTAATTGTTGTGTACCTATTACATTCCTTCATTTACCATCTTTTTACTCGTCATTATCGTTGGCATCCAACAAGCAAATGCTAAGATATTTTAGGTTTTGCATGTATTGTCTTGACCTTAATTTTTTACCTAACATAGACTCACTTTTCATTAGAGGCAGAAGCTGAAAAAAAAAAATACTTTCGTTACAAGTTTCTCAAATCAAATTGAACATTCTGCTGAATGCCTATAACTTGTACATTTTTAACTGTAAATACTTTAAAACACAGTGTACTCACATGGAGTAGGCGAGTATTTACTGTGTGATGTCTCAGATCCTTGTCCTGAACAAAAATTACACAGTTATAGTAAACACTACAGACACACAAAACTGTGTGCAGGTACATCTCAAAAAATTAGAATATCATGAAAAAGGCCAATATTTTTTTTCACTCATTTCAGAAAGTGAAACCCATATATTATATAGATTCATTACACATAGAGTGAAATATTTCAAGCCTTTATTTCTTGAAATTTTGATGATTATGGCTTACAGATAATGAAAACCCAAAATTCAGTGTCTCAGAAAATTTGAATATTGTGAAAAAGTTCAATATTGGAAAGTCATGGTGTCACACCCTAATCAGCTAATTACCTCAAAACACCTGCAAAGGTTTCCTGAGCCTTTAAATGGTCTCTCAGTCTGGGTCAGTAGGCTACACAATCATGGGGAAGACTGCTGACTTGACAAATGTCCAGAAGACAGTCATTGACACAAAAGTTCATTGCTAAAGAAGCTGGTTCTTCACAGAGTGCTGTATCCAAGCATATTCATAGAAAGTTGAGTGGAAGGAAAAAGTGTGGTAGGAGGCCGCTATCAAAGCAACCTGGGCTTCCATTACACCTGAGCAGTGCCACAGGCTGATTGCCTCCATGCCACGCCGCATTGATGCAGTAATTCATGCAAAAGGAGGCCCATCCAAGTATTGAGTGCATAGAAATGAACATACTTTTCAGAAGCCTGACATTTCTGTTTAAAATATCCTTTTTTTTATCGATCTTATGTAATATTCTAATTTTCTGAGACACTGAATTTTGGGTTTTCATTATCTGTAAGCCATAATCATCAAAATTTCAAGAAATAAAGGCTTGAAATATTTCACTCTATGTGTAATGAATCTATATAATATATGGGTTTCACTTTCTGAAATGTGTGACAAAAAATATTGACCTTTTTCGTGATATTCAAATTTTTTGAGATGTACCTGTATGTGAATGTTTAAACAGAATTAGATGTAATGAACTGGACTGAACAGATCATTTACCAGCAGCTCGTCTCTTCCTCCATATGATGAGTGCAGTTATGATGAAAAGAACCACACACATGAACACCAGCACACTGAAAACTACAGACTGCGAAGATGATCCTGGGTCAGATTCAGCCACATCTGAAATTAAGGTAAGATAAATTAAACTGGAGAATAAAATCATAGCCTATATAAGAAAGGATTTTTACCTTATTAAAAGTAGACCTGTTTTAATTCATCATTTTGATTACTAAATGTACTGTTTGATTTGGTTTTAATGTACTCAAACGCTGCATGGCTTGAATGTTTGTTAGTTTTTCTTTACCAAATGTAAAGTCCAGTTTGTTGTCCAGATTGAGATGCTTCATTGTGCAGTTGTATTTATGTTCCTCACGTAGCTCTTCTTCACTGATCACCAAACTCTTCCTCATCTGGTACGTTCCGTCTCCGTTGGGCAGAATCTCTCCTCTTGTGATCTGATCATCATCCACAGGCTGACCATCTTTGAACAGGGTCAGGTTAATGTGACGGGGGTAAAAACCAGTGGCCAGACAGCTGATCTGAAGCCCTTGAGAGTCTGAGAGTGTCTTCTTCATGAGTCTGACTCTGGGCTTCACTACATAAAAGTGTTACTGTTGTAAAACTGTTAAGTTTATTGCTTTAGTTATTAATTTATTGTAATCATGATTCATAAAGCAATCAAAGGCAAAGGTATTTTCTGTCAGCACTGCTGACTGGTCCATACTGAGGTTAATCAGGAAGTCACTCACCTTTTCTCATGACATTGTTCTTTTCCATGTTCAGGTACCTCCGCAAGGTTTTAATGCAAATAGGGTGATAAACATTTTGAAGAACGTACTTTACATGAAGCTGTTTTCCTTGCTCCCATGCTATTCCCCATTGCATTGTGTTGTGGATTTCATTTTTTTCCATGTCAAATGTGAGATCCCCAATATTTTGTCCATCAAAAGCATCCCAAGACTTAAACAAACCTGGTTCATCATTGTTCAATAATTCACATCCAACAAGTCTCTGAGTAACATGTACACCTGTATGTGAATGGCAAGAAATTTAATTAAAACCTACTGGCCTTCACTGACATAGCACATATAAGATGCAGTGAAAATGTTTTGTGTCATTGTGTGGTATTAATTAATTGTTGCTTAGACTAACCTGTGTGATCTGTGTTATTTAATTGATCCTTACAATGTAATTCCCAATTTTTCAGGTTGTTATATATATATTGAAATACAACACCAGCATCCCTTTGCTCTTCATCGTAATATTTTGATTCACTGTGAGAGCGATAGACAGTTTTCCATGTGGCTGAGTCATAATACGTTATTTGCACATCATCCAACATCACCACAACACTGAACTCAGGAAATGGCGTTTGTCCATCTATGTATGTTGCCAAAGCCATCAGTGAGTGAGAACCTGTGAATACACAAGGACAAGCATTCAATATTAGCGTGACCTCAAATTATACCATTACATATGTACATTCCTGATCACATCTGTAAAGACATAAAAAGTTGTCAAATAGAAATACAATAAATGATAAATGAGACAATGAGTCATTTTTTTAATTGTATAGTGCTTTTAAATCTATATTGTTTCAAAACAGATTTGCAGTACCCCCAGACAGTGATCTCTAGAGGTTGATTGATGTGTACATCTGTGGTTTGTATTTCTAGATTCCCGTGTAATAGCTGTGTACATTGTACAGCGTTACATGCAGTAGTTTTAATTATAGTAGTTTTCACTTAATACGTGAACATTTGTGCTGACCTAAGCTGTCAATAGGATTTAATATGCAGACATTTAAAACCATTTGTGACCATAAATAACAAACAGTTGAAACTGTGCAAGGTATCAGACAGTAAACTATCCTACCTGCTCTGACAAATGTCAAGCATGACAACAAATACACAAGCACGAACATTTTTTCAATAAATAATCTTGTGTTGGGTCCGATATCCCCCATACTTCCTTCTTCTACTTTCACTTTTACTCTTCTTCTTCTTCTTTTTCTTTTACTTAGGTTGCCTATATTGCATTCTGTTTCCATATTGCCACCTACTTTTATTGTTATGGATGGTTTATTTAACATCAATTTCCTATTCTTTCCTTGTAATTCATTTATTTATATATTTGTTTTTCAACCATTTTTTATATTTTATTTATTTTTATTTTAGAAAAATTCTACTACCACTCCTTTGTATATGCCATATTAACATTAATATCTCAGTCAGGTTTCAGGCCCCATCATAGCACAGAAACTGCACTTGTTAAAATTACCAATTTATTTCCTTCTTGCATCAGACCAAGGCTGCATCTCATTGCTAGTTAGTGCTGCGTTCGGCACTATAGATCATAACATACTCATAGATAGATTACAAAAGTATACGGGTATTCAATGGCAGGCTTTAAGATGGTTTATATCTTACCTGTCCAAACATTATCACTTTGTTTATTTAAATGGGGAATCATCTCAATAAACGCCAGTAAAATATGGAGTGCCGCAAGGATCTGTCTTAGGCCCTCTGCTATTTTCCGTATATACTGTATGTCCCCCCTTGGTAATATTATTAGAAAATACAGGATTAGTTTCCATTGTTATGTTGATGATACTTAACTACATATTTCAACAAGACCAGATGAAACTTCTAAATTATTTAAGCTAACAGAGTGTGTTAAAAATGTAAAAGATTGAATGACCAATAATTTTCTCCTATTACATTCGGATAAGACAGAGATATTATTTATTGGACCAAAAAAGATTACAATCTGCATCTAGACGGAAGTACTGTTACTTCCTCTACAGTCAAAAATTTTATATTAGACAGCAACTTTTTTTTTTTCAAATGTTACAAAAACAGCATTCTTCTATCTTAGAAACATTGCCAAGCTACGGAACATGCTACCTGTTTCTTCTGCAGAAACAAAATATTACAGTTACAAAATATTACTACTTACTTATAAGGCCCTAAATGGTTTAGCTCCTGCATAACTAACTAGTCTTCTATCACGCTACAATCCATCATGCTCCCTAAGTTTGCAAATCTCAGGACTTTTGGTAGTACATAGGATAGCAAAGTCCACTAAAGGAGGTAGAGCTTTCCCACATTTGGCACCCAAACTCTGGAATAGCCTTCCTGATAATGTTCGTTTTTTTGCTTGGTTGAACACATAATTTTTTTCTCTATAATTTTTCTCTATTTGCTTCTCTGTTTCTGCCACGGGATGGGCATCCTGAGGTAACTAGGAATTACACAAGCCTCAGTCGGGATCCAACCCTTACAAAAATCTGAGACGACCGAACACCTGAGAAGAGATGATGCCAACACCTCAGAGAACCTCAGATGAACCAACATACAAAATTACTAAATTTTACTCGCAATATAATCATTGCCGTTAATCGTGTTCACTGTTTGTTTGAATGCATGTCATTAACTAACTTGATGAGTTTTACTGTACATTTCTGTCATATGGACATCGCCTTGACATAGTTAACACTGATAAGCTACTCCTAAATATAATGTAGAAACTTTGCAATGATTTCTATTGTGAAAAGCACTATACAAATAAATGTAAATTGAATTGAATTGAATATACCTACTCCTGTGACCCCTATATTTGGGTCTTGTGATCCATTTGCATATATTTGAGTACTTAGAATCTTTCCTGATATGCATTCAGGTGAAGCTCTACATTTTTTATCTCCAATATGAATACCAGCATAATTCTTTAGAGATGTCCAATGTGACAGTATCTCTCTGTGCAAACATAGTGGAATTTCATACACTTCAACAATTAGAACATTGGCTGGAGATGATTTACAGGTGCATCTCAATAAATTAGATTAAACTACTTCAGTCTGTGTGCATTGAATTTATTTAATACACGAGTTTCACAATTTGAGTTGAATTACTGAAATAAATGAACTTTTCCACGACATTCTGATTTATTGAGATGCACCTGTAACTGCTTCTAGGCATATTCAAATAACTCTGTACTGTATGGGTCTTTAATGATGTTACTGATGTTGCACCATATATCATGCATCCATAATCAATTATCTAATCAAAGCTTGATAAACCATTAACATAGATTATCTTTCATCTCATTTCAGCTCTTCCTACAATTTTATCTAATTCTCCTATATGTTTTTTAATCTACTAAACAACGACAGCCTACAAAACCATAGTAGTTAAATACCATCAGGAATTTCTTTTTCCCAGTAAATAATGTTCTAAATCTCAAAATCTTTTTAAATCTTGACTATTTACTATAAGACTTGCATGCTAATCAGATATTTGAGAAACATCTGTTATTACTAAGTAAGTGTCTCGCATGTCATAAATTCCAGAAATCCCTAGAAATTCTAATGTAGCTCCTTGAATAGTTTTGATCTTGGCTGATTTTTTCATCATTTAAGCATTCTCTTTTAGGGCACATTGATGGTTACATTCCATCTTTTTTTCCCCCATGTTCCTTGTGTCTTGTTTGCTCTTAACTATTGCTTCTTCTCTGCTCTAGCATAACAGACTTTGAACTAAACCTTGTATCCCTGGACAAAGAATAATACGTTGTTTATTCCTGTGTGTCCCAAAGTCAAGCAAATTTCTCTTCTGAGGTTTCACTATTGTAGTGACTTTGTTGGTCATATATCTATTTTGCCATGACTTTACAATAGGAGCTTTTATTAGTGATTCACCTTCATTTTTATATGGAATTTCATATATATTACTTATTCTTCTATTTTAGGACTGTTTAGTTGCCTGCTATTTCATCTTCTTTTATGATTTACCAAATAGAAACGTTGATTAATTCAAAGTCTCTGTAAGTTTAAAAGGCTATATACATCTATTATAATGCAATTAGGAAACCTTTTAGGGATGGTCTTTTAGTATCTTGTTCCATTAACACCTGTATGATGGCATAAAGTAACTGTACACTACTACACTACACTAAGTCCACTAAGTTTAAGTTCCTGGATTAATGACAAAGTGATGACAGCTCAAGTGTATCCTCACTATGGTTCTGCTTCCTTGCAGTCAGCTCCCCTTTTGACCTGTAAATGTCATTCATCTGAACATATTTTATGAATATTTTCATTTCTCATTAACAGGACAAAAGTCTTTGTTGGTCTCTTTCTAATAACTTTTCCATGCTAGGTGTGTGCTGTCTCAAAAGGGAAAAAAAACAATAAACTTCAAGAATATTGAGTCCTAAGCAGTATCATATAGCACTAGATGAGTCAGGTGTCCTGTTCATGCAGGGCACAATCTCCCATTACACTGTTCATGAGATAAAAGACACAAAGTAGATGACTCATGCATGCATGATGACTCATGTTTTTATTCAACATGCCAAATTACTTCTAAAAAACCATGTACATATCTGTAATACCGTACAAAGCTAAAACCAACCAACAGAATAACCGTGAACAAAATAATTCAATATTATAAAAATATTGCACAACAATACAGCAGGAGACAATGTTCTAAAACATTATAATGATTTCAGATCACAGGCTCAAATGTTTATGTTGCATACTATACACAATATACTATTGATCTGTGTCTATATTACATTCTTTTGTCTTTTTAATAAAGTAAAATCAGTCAGAAAGACTGAATAAAATCAGATGGCCATTATCGTAAAATTATCGTTAAAATTATCGTAACACAAATGACATCCACCAAGTAAGTGGTAAAGCTTTATAAGTTTTTCATGTATTATCTTGAATATAATATAGGTCCATGTAGACTCACTTTTTATGCTTCATCTTGCACGGAAGCTGAAAGAAAAAAAATCTTCATCTTGTCATGTCCAAAATTAAGCCTGAAATTAAAATGTTGATTAATTCATATTACTCCATAAAACACAGTTACTTACATGGAGTAAGGGAATAATCACTCTTTGATGTCTCAGATCCCCTGAATAAGAATGAAAAATAAACCAGGATGAATAAATAATAACACTACAGAAATATAAAACTGCATATAAGGTAAACTCTG